CAGAGCTCTCCAGTGTTTTTGTGTGGAATAAAATTAGATGCACACATCTGCCACCACGAAGAAAAAATTCCATCTCTGGCTCCCATATGAAAACATTGTAACCAACTAGCAGTTACTGAACCATAGTACCTTAATGATTATTACCAAATCAACAGGTTCTGAAACAATAAAATTCAGAATTGTGCTTTCATGATTATTTAAATCAGATTATCACATTACAAGTTTAATATCTCAAGATGATTAAATCAGAAAAGTACTGTGTAGAGTGCAAATATATATGTAGAAGTTTCTTTTGTATTTTGTTCTGACCTATTTTGGGGCTGTTTTGTTTAAATTTGAGCAAACAATGTGGTTAACCTCACAAGAAGAGCACAAATTGGCATATATCACATGTTCAAAATGTTTCATATTTGCATAGTGTTTTCTGACTTTAGATCAGATTTTATTATTATACTCCAAACAATATAAAAAGGTAACTGTTTTTTACTCTGTAATATGCTTTTCTAGTTGGTTACAATTCCAAGAAATACAGGAAAGTTACTATGCCAATTACAAAATTCTAAACTGTTTAGCTCCTCACTATAAATGCATTTTTTAAAACTGTACATTCTGAATCCAATATTCATTGTTCAGGTAATGCATTGATATGTCCTAAATAAAATTGATATAAATAGAAGATATTCAAGTAAAAACCTCAAAACCTGGAAATACTCCATCCCTCTCTACCTATCATCCAAATTTCAGTGATCATTTAGTCTTACTTGACAGACTCATATCTTCCAGAAGGCTTCTGAATAGTTTATATTATAAAAAACAAAAAAACAAAACACACCCACACCCCACCAAAAAAAAAAAAAAAACCCACTTAAGAAATGCATATTCCCTCATCTAATCAACAGCATATTACTATTAATACCCTAATCTCTTCCACTTTTACTTACGTTCTTGCCTTAGTTTGTACGGTAAATTCTGCTGAAGTGGGATTCAATATTCATCTGTTTTGTAAACTAGTAAGTAGGGATGTCAAATTCTGATTAGTCGTTAAGGGCGCTTCCACCTTTGAAGTATAGCTTCAAAGGTGCAAGTGCTGTGGGGAGCATGGGACCAACGGGGGACTCAAGCAGTCCCCTGCTGACCCTGTGCTCCTCGTGGCATTTCAAAGCAGCAGTTCCGCGTGGAGCCCAGGGTCAGCTGGGGACTTCCCCAATGTGGTATTTCAAAGTGGCAGCACCACATGGAGCCTAGGTTCATGGGAGAGTCCCCAGCTGACTCTAGGCTCCATGCGGCATTGTCGCTTTGAAATACTGCGAGGAGCCTGGCATCAGGCTCCACAAGTGCTTCAAAGTGGCAGCACCTTGTGGAGCCCAGGGTCAACGGGGGAGTCCCCAGTTGCTCCTGGGCTCCATGCGGCACAGCCGCTTTGAAACTCTGCGTGCCGCCCAGGCTCCCTGCTAGCCCTGGGCTGCACACAACATTTCAAAATGGCAGTGCCGCATGGAGCCCAGGGACTGGCCGCAGGCTCCATGTGGCACTGCCGCTTTGAAGCAATCCTTCCTCTCCCCCCTTAGTGCCTCTTTCTGATAAAGGCAGCAAGGGGGGGGGGGGGGAGAAGAGCGACTAGTCAACTATTCAAAAAGCATTTTCCCATATAGATTCCTAAGTTTTCAGAGGCCCGAATACAATACAGTAAAAACTGAATATGTACTTTAAGTCTGCCTAATCATAGACTTCCTTAGTTTCTCTTAATGGACACTTTGTTCTCTAATATAGGTCTGCAGCCTTCTAGGCCATGCAAGTCCCACACAGCCTACATACAACCTAAGATCTTGAGGAGAAAACTTATTTTGTTGTAAAGTGCCCTCCTATAAAGAATTATCTTTGCCCATTTCTGAAACTGCTTGAAGAAGGAGATGTCATGTAAAGGCGATCCTTACTACCTGTGAGTCCCTACCTTGCATACTTAATCCAGTGTGTGTGAGTTCGCTCGAGTGAGAGGAGAGAATAAGTTCTGACCTTTGACCATTTAATACCCCCAATTAAACAAATATGTTACTTGCAAGCAGGAGTCAGAGAAGGAAGAAAGTTCCTGCTCCCTCCCAACCAATGGAGAGTGGTATCCTGTCCTAGCTCTAACAATATTCTTGTTGATGCTGGAGTAATGAAGCACCTCACAACAGTATCAGTTTCTTTTTGTTTGAAGATGAGGAAGATTTTGGTCCCAATACATTTCTCCTTTGCATAGTTGTCAAGCTTCATAATACAGCTATAAGCCTAGAAGCTGTAGGCCTGATTACACATTTTAATGGAGCTATGTGTAACTGGACGGGACTAACAGTCAACCAGCTAGGGAAGGCACTTCTTTCAAGATACTCATTGCATCTTGGGATATTATTGCCATGAGCTAATGTTTTGCCACATGGAGCAGTCCAGCTAAATAGAGCCTGTGATTCTGTCCCTAAGAGAACAGTCTTATGAGGCTGTTTTATATCTAAATTAAGTTGATGCAGTCTGAAACAGATGGGAAATAACCCCCCAGAAAAAAAACCACCTCTACAGTGTAAGCCAATGGTGGGCAAACTGTGGCCCACAGTCCACATGGCCCATCGAGGTTCTGTATGTGCCCCACAAGACATTTTGTTTACTGTTGCGCACACACATAGGGTTGCCTTTCCGCTGGTTTCCATCCATCTAGTTTTTTCCTACCGGTACTACTAAAGCGATACTCATGTCAAACAAGGGCACATGAAATGAGGTACATGCTAACTGCACATAATACTGACTGTGAGAGCCAAGAGCTCCCTCTATATCCAATCAAAGTGCTGCTACCGTTCAAATAGCACAACCTGCAAATTCTAGGTATGCAAGCGCAGTTAGCAAGACTACCCTATCCTGGGAGACCATGTTGGTTACAACAATCTTGTGCCCCACTGAGATGGAGGGCCACTGATGCAGTACTAGCCTACATCACTGGCACAAGAGAATGAGTTCATGGCCACTACTCTCTGTTATGTTTTGTACAAGTCTCAAACATTTAAATTAACATAAATAAGAATAATGCTGACTTTTTTTTTGTATCTATTACCACTTCTGGCCATTTGTGCATTTTTAAAAGCAAATAATGGAAGGGCTACCCTTCCTGAATAGTTTAGAATAGATAGATTTAAGCAAAAACACATGTAAATGTGAAAAGATTTTTTAAAAATTACATGGGCTTGTATATGAGAATCACACCATAATTCTGACCATAAGGCAAAAGAAGATAGATGATACAGAGATAAACAAAATGGACATTTCTCTAACCTATAGTTTTGATGTGTTAATAAAGACATCTGAAGAAGCACAAAAGGTTTGAAGCTGCTATAACATTCTATCGTAATTAGAAACATTGCAAGAGCCCTGTAATTTCCAATCAAAATTACAGTTATTTCTGATATACCAGCCATGATTCATGACAGAATTTTACATTCCATGGGAGATTATAGTGGCCTGATGTATGACATACTGAGTACAGTACTAACATAAACAATTCAATTTAATGTTTAAACTGCACTTGGTGTTTAGAATCCCACAATAAAAGAAACAGATTACTGTAGAAATTATCACTTTGACAGATTAGAAGGGGAGGCAGGCATGTGGCATATTTTTATACATAATATATTTTACAGTCCACAGCTTGAGTTTAATAATTTTGATACAACATTTTCAAAATAGTCCTTGAAGTAATTCAAGGGATATTTAACTTAAAGAACATCCATTCTCTACAATGAGATGGAACAAGTCCAAATGCATGCATTTCCAAACTCAAAGAAGAAAAATTCTAAAAGGAAAAAACAATGCACAGTACTGCACTGCAGGTCCAAATAAACATTCACAAACCTGATCACATTTTATCAGCAGCTCAATGGGCACTGAAAGACAGCAACCTTCTCTCAGAAGCAGTTTTGGGGAACTAAGACAATAACTAAACATTTAGCAGACAAACCGGCAACCAGTGATGTCCCTTCTCTTTCCTCAATGTTTTTCCAGTGTTGGTGTTACTGTATCATTCCTTTCCATTTGGCATCTGACCATCCTGCACTCTACTTTAGTTGTGAGCACATTCTCACTTGAGTCTTGGTTTTGAGCACATTGGTGGGTTTTCTGAAAGCATGTTACCTAGGATCATAATGCAGCAATTGTCTGAGACAATAATACTCACAGGACTGGAGTGTCTCATTTTCCCATCTTCCCTTCCTGGCGTAAAATTAACATAGTTGCCGGCATTAAACTTAATATTTTGTTTCATTTTAAGAACTTATTATAAAAATACACCTAACACCACAGGGTTAAATGGAATACAGTCTTTTCTGTGTGAGTACGGTTTCACGGGGGCCATAATTTGTCAATCCAGGATTAATTTACATGGCTAGTTACCCTTGTTTTAAATTTGTACATAATATTTCATAAAATAATTTGCATTTTGGTTTGGAATTGTGGACTTCTGACGCTGAGTTGCCACTTTTGTTTGAAAACAAAACAGGTATCTATATCCATACAGCTACACTGTGTCCCTGTTTCCCCAAACCTCATTTCTGACATTTCACTGCCAATAGCTGCACCAACCACACCCAAAACACCAAAAGCTTGAACACTCTAATTATAGCACCTGTTATTGCCAGATCTAGAGTCACCTAATCAACACTGGAGAAATAGAGAGCATACACCACTTACTCATTTACAGCCACTATGAAATTATGAAAGTTTACAATTTTGGCCCTCCAGGATCTAATCTTTCTGCAGACAACAAACCTATCTTGCTGTTGAGGGCAATATCTTCGGTAGCTGCTTTTTCCAATTCTAGCAAACAAAAGGTAGCCTTTAGTTACCTTAGGACTCTGCAATAAATGTAAATAGTTGTAATACTACATATTGCTAACCCAACAAATTATTGAATTCATACAGAAAACCACACAAAGACTGCAAAAAATCATACAAATGGTTGGTAACTGTTGAATCCCTACCTGGCTTTTAGTTGCTGCAACCTTTGCAAATAGTGCTTGTGACACTTTTGGTAGCCTTTAGTTACCTTAGGACTCTGCAATAAATGTAAATAGTTGTAATACTACATATTGCTAACCCAACAAATTATTGAATTCATACAGAAAACCACACAAAGACTGCAAAAAATCATACAAATGGTTGGTAACTGTTGAATCCCTACCTGGCTTTTAGTTGCTGCAACCTTTGCAAATAGTGCTTGTGACACTTTTGCTGCTGAATCTCATCAGATTTGGAAGCATTAATGTTCATGGTATTATTTTCTGGTTTTCCATTCCTCTCCGTTGCAACAGCAGCTGTTTTTACCTAGAAAACATTTTATGAGATTGTCAGTTTTCATTATAAAAGGATGACTTTTTTCCCCCAGGTGGTGTCTCCCTCCTTTGGGCACTTATTCTTAGCCCTAATCATATTCTTTTTTTACTTTCAACCTTTCAGTATTTTATTATGATCAATTAGCCATGGCTCAGGCAAATGGGTGTAAATAAAATCCTATGCATCGTCACAGTGACTGTACCTAAAATAAGATAGTCACCATCAGCTGATCACTACAAATCACAATATCACCAAACAAGTTAGTTGGAAACAGCAACACAGAAGCTTGCAAATCCTGAAATTTTTTACTTTCAACCTTTCAGTATTTTATTATGATCAATTAGCCATGGCTCAGGCAAATGGGTGTAAATAAAATCCTATGCATCGTCACAGTGACTGTACCTAAAATAAGATAGTCACCATCAGCTGATCACTACAAATCACAATATCACCAAACAAGTTAGTTGGAAACAGCAACACAGAAGCTTGCAAATCCTGAAATGAAAAAGGGCCCCCCCCCCCCCCCAACAATTAAAGAAAAAAATGTAACTGCAGTGTAAAAGGATCATCAATGAAATAAAAATTCAGACAAATATCTTGCTGGGTGACCAGTGCAGCCAGTTTCAACATGCAAATGTTATACAGGTGTCACTTTAGATTTAACCTGGTCTTTCCATTTATATTTCTATTTATCTTCTATAAACAACAGTTTACACATTGGAATGGTCTCCTCACCCACGAAATGGAAATAAGGAGGACCTTCTCTAGCCAGCATCATGTCTGGATAGTTGTATTTTACTTGTGTATGCCTAAGCTGTTTTTACACCACTCCATACAAGGTGCACTATGCCTCTACAGAATAGGCAATATGGTATGGTACGGTACTTCTAACTTACAGAAGTCTGCAGAAATGTGGGGAAAATCTGGCCTCCCCACTTCAGGATATCATTGCTCCCTATGCTGGTAATGCTTTTCTCTCTCTTACTGGCCATAGTGTGATGGGGTCAGGAGGCTCCTATTGAGCCACGTGAAGATGAACCTTTAGACCACACAAAATCCCACTGAGGGCCCCCAGAGCTGAAAGAGGTCTGGTCAGATAAATCAACTTGCAGGGTCAAGGCCAATCAGCTTTATCTTGGCCTGTAAATAACCCAAGGATGTGATGGGAGATGATGATGGCATGATGAATAACTATACATTTAACCACCCTCTCCCCACTGCATGAGCTCTTATGAATGGCAGAGTCCAAAAAGTTTGAGTGGAAGGGTTTCGATAGGCGGGGAATATAATTTAGGTAAACTCCTTGGCCTCTGAACAAACAATGGTCAATTTTGTGGATAGTTCGTATTATGCACCCTCCAGGAGAGTCTGATATTCAACTTCAAATATGGCCCATAAGCTAAGAGCATACATCAGCACAGCACCACTGAGGATATGCCTACAAGGCTTCTCAGTCACAGTGCAGACACATGAGCTGCAACTGGAGATGCTATTACTAAGCACCATGAGTCTCAGCAATAAAAAAAGCATGCACGTGTTTGTACTTGCCTTCCACTCTGAGGCATGAGTGCCTCTCAGTATGAACTCAGTGTCTGATATTAGTATGGATGCACAAATGAAAGAAAATATGCTAAAAATGCCCCCTTTACAGCATAGCGTGTGCATTTTTATAATTAGAATTTAAATTGTACCTAGTGGGTGACAGATTGAGATGTTAGATGGGACAACAAGCTTGTGCTGTCTTTGTACAGTGGTGAATTTCATCCATTGACTTTCAAGTACCTGATGACCAGGCTGTGCCAACAACTGCTAAGAAACATCTGAGATGCCTGGCAACGCGTAGCATAAGCAGTAGTGTGAACATTCATGTCTCACACTGCCACATGAGAAAAGTCATGCCATGCTCTCACTGGGAGCCATTTGCATTGAACTGGGATGGAGCTGGAAGAGCATATGGATGTTCTGTAGCATTCAGAAAAGTTACGTGCACACGAGTAATCCTTTAGCATTTTGAAAAGAAGGATGGATACTAAAAGGCTATTTATAACTGAAACCATGTTAAATGTATTATTGCAGAAATCAGACTGAACTTTAAGACTAAACAACAAAAAGTGGATGGTTTTATAGCCTAAATAGCTACACCGAAATTCGGGTCTTCACTGTGACCATCCTTTCAAATCTTGTCAAGATAGTCTTCATACTTCTGAGGCATGCAAAAATTCATTGGAGTGGGATAAAATAAAGATGTCCTGCCTACTCTGCATGGACATTAAAGCTTCCATGGTGTGTTTTGTAAGAGGTCAAGGGTTGCCTCTGTGGGCTTGGTCACAATTTTCACTGTTCCACATCCTCAACTGAAAAGGTGGCTGCATAATGCAGTGATGCTTTAGGATACTACTGCAGACATTACTCAATCAGTGAAGTGTACTGCCACAAAAGAACCCCAGCAAAACCTGAGGGAAATACAGGGTGTAGATGGATATGTGAATTATAAAGAATAAATGCTCAATGCTATTGTGATAGGAACAATTGAAAACCCTATTGCTAACAGCACAATATTGACTAAAGGCCTGATCCAAAGCCCACGGAAAGACTTCCACTGATTTCAGAAGACTCCATTTTTTATTGGTCAGTACGTGATCCATTGACAGATAACTAAAATACCATAGTAGCCCACATTAATGTCAGAAGAAAAGTAAACAACACTTCTCTATATAAAATGGACTGATTTTTGGGTTTCAAGAGAATTTTTATCCTCCAACAATCCTCATCCTTGCAAACTTGCATAATTGGTTGAGTGAAAAAATATTCGCCTGCCTCCCCAACAATTCTCTTAAAACGTCAGTTGTAGGCTACGGCTAGATTAGATGGACCATTGGTCTGCTTTGGTCTGATGAATACTAAGCAACACTGCTAATTAACCTTTTGGTGAATATTCACATAGAAAAATGATTTCATAATTTATATAAGCAATCTTCTGGTCTAATCTTAAAATGTGACATTCTATGAATGTATTCAGAAGAGAAAGGTTTCATTAGCTTCAGTTCTTTTTTGAGATAAGCTTCTGTGCTGGGGTTGCAACTGAACTTACTATCATTTTCATTCTGGATGGAAAATATGATGTGTGGGCAGAAAGGAAAGAGGATCTCCTTAGGAATAAGCTTTTATAAATTATCCACAACTTCCATTTTTTTTAAAAAGATCAAGATCAATTTAATGTTAGTAGATACTAACTAATCATTTTGAATGGTGACCAAATTAGGTTTATACTTGATGAAGGTGAAAAATGTTCTATCACAATGTTTAATATCATAAGACTAACCTCCTTCTCCCCCATACATTAGTCATTTCAAAAATATTTGGAAAAAAACTTTGGCCTTCTCAACAACTAGTCTGCCAATATATCTATATCTCATCACATGAGATTGATTACAGTCATGAGAAGTTATGGAATCATTCACTTTTCCTAAACAAAGGACAAGCGATTGATGGAATAGTGAATCTGAACAGTTTTTCACAAATATAGAAGCTTCCTTCCCTTGCCTTCCCACGCCCCCCTCCCCCGGCAAAAATCGAAACAAAAATCTTTTCTAAAACATTCTCATAAGTACTGTTTTAGCTTAGGAAAAAAAAATCTTCTTTAATCCTGGTTTAGCTTTTAATATTACATCGTACATTAAAATTCATGAAGTAGTTCATTCCAGGCAAAACAAACTACTTTTCAGTTCTGCTCTGGAAATAGCACAGGAGGTATAATAAATGCAGTTGCTTTCAGAACTGCTTTTATCAGGACAAGGTTTACTACATCATTATTATAGTGGCGCCTAGAAGCAGAGTTATAGTTAAGTGCCAGTGTTTCCATTAATTTTCCTCCAGGGTGGTTTTTGTAAGGGTAGAGTATTTCATTTAATATTTTGTCCATTTTAAATTTTAATAAAAATGAAACTGAGCAACAAACAAAGATTGTCAACATAAATCAGAGAGATCATTTTTTATTTTAAAGGTGGGCCAAAAAGTGCAAGTTTCACCAGTTGTTAAAAGTGTCCTAATTTTTTTCAGGCATGCCTAGCACCCACAGTTAGTTAATGGAACTAAAAGATACCAGTGCCTCCTAAAATTCAGGACCCTCTTTCTCTAACAAACAGAAACTGTTTTGTTCAGCCTCTCAACTTTCAAGTGTAAGCACTTAGGCTACACATCTAGACTCTTTTCCAGGAGAAATTTCTGAAAAAGTGGATGCATTCTTTTGTCATCCCTGTAAAAATCTCATTTTATGAGAAAGAAGGGCTGGCTCGAAAGGATTTTTTCCCGAAATTTGGCACCGTGTAGATGCGCCAAATTTTGGAAAGCCTCTTTTAAAAGAAAAGTGGAAAAAAAGTTTGCAATTTGCATATCTTTTTCCAACTTTTCTTTGTAGTGCAGACATAGCCAGAGATAAAAGGGGGTGAAGTATTATCTTTTATTGGACTAACTTCTGCTGGTAAAAGGACAAGCTTTCAAGCTTCCATAGTGCTCTTCTTCAGGTCCGGAGAAGGAAACCAGGGCATTCAAGGTGAATTCAAGGTGGTACGGACTGCTGAGCATAAAACATAGATGGCTAGCAGGCAGCAGAGTGTTACAAATTGCTATAGTGGCCCTTGAACAGTGACCCTGTTATGTCTATGGGTTTTAGGGTACAGTAGAGCTGTGAATTTAAGTTCCTAAGCTCATTTTTTTGAAGATGTCATACAGATTTTCTTTGAGAACAAGGAATGACAGAGGTCAGATATTGAGTGGTAGCCCACAGGTAACAGGGTGTTTTAGACTTCTTATTTGTCTCTGAGTTCATACAAGAGCACAGTAATTATCTGGTTTTACCCCTATAGTTACTATTGGGCATTAGATGCAAGCCCGTGTACTTAAATACACTACTCTGCTGGACACTAAACAGCATGGATTTAACAGAGACATTGATTATATGGCCTACTGCAACAACTTCAAATGCAACTTCA